CTAAAAAAAATGTGTTTAGTCAAACAAATACAGTAGCAACTTGCCCACCTTGAACATCTAGACTCAGCAACCAATAGCCTCCAAGTCTCAGCATACTCTGCCATTCTGCATCTTCCAAAGCATGCTGGGACTTGTAGATGTGATGTAAGCATGCTGGATTCCAACTTTAATCAAAAATTCCAGATGTTGGTGTTGGACTTTTGGCCTTGTAGTTCATGAAAAGCTGCTTATCCGGACCCTGGTCTTGGATTATTAGAAACATTCTAAGTGAATAAAGACTCTTCTTCTAGAACACTCCGATCCCCTTTATCCTGTTTTCGGTCCAAACAGGAGCCTTGATTAAGTCGTTTATTATTGAATCTCTCATCCTGGCAGGAAAATAATATTAAGTTTTACAAGGGCATCAGGATGTGCATCTCTAATACACAAAGAAAGCGGGCCAAGTCCTTAAATATATACTGGTACTAAAAATAGGACTTCATTGTTCGCTCCTGGTGCAATCCTATTCTCACCGAGCAAAGCCTGGCAAGTCACCGCTGGGGGACGCCGGCTCAGGATATTTTATCTTCTTGCATGGATTTTAACACGGCTGTAAATACAGGTGAAACTCGAAAAAATTAGAATATCGTGCAAAAGTTCATTTATTTCACTAATACAACTTAGCCGTCTACCAGGAGATTTTGGAGCACTTCATGCTTTCTTCCGCAGACGAGCTCTATGGGGATGCTGACTTCATTTTCCAGCAGGACTTGGCACCTGCCCACACTGCCAAAAATTTTCTGAGATTGTGGATCTGGGTTTTCATGAGCTGTAAGCCATAATCATCACAATTATGACAAATCACGGTTTGAACTATGTTGCTTTGCATGTAATGAGTCTCTCATATATTAGTTTCACCTTTTAATTTGCATTAGTTAAATAAATGAACTTTTGCACGATATTCCAATTTTTCGAGTTTCACCTGTATAAAAATAATTTTATAGTATAAAACCATTGCTGAGATTGTTAGGAAAAGAGTCAATGCTGCTCATGTATTAAAGAGAACTGACACTGAAACTCATAGAAATGAAATGCCACAAAAAAGTCCAAAAATATTTTTTTAAAATCACAATTTGAATGATAACGAGTGATGGAAAATCCCGCTCCTCACAAAGAATCTCATGCTGATCCTTTGTTTCAGATGTTTCAGACTTTCTGAATAGGTTTCAGGCCTCTTTTACATTTCTGCCGCACTCGTTCCCGCATCACATGTTGCAGTCTTAGGTATGCAAGATATAATTTCTTAATGGCACCTAGCCACCCGATGTATGTTGCATCATCAGAGCTGTCCCAGTAATGAGGCAGCCTGAGTCGGTTGCCTCAGGTGGCATCTCACTAAACCTCAAGGGGGGCCAGAGGGTCCCCCTAAGAGCTCTTAGCATCCTACCCAGCTCATGACATCAATGGCTGCCAGAAGCTAAGTGGGACGCACTGGCTCCTGGCACCCAGTGATGTCAGTGAGCTGGGTGGGATGGCCACTCAGTAACGAGTGCTGCCAACACCCCCACCCATGATAACATTATCATTATCCTAATAGGTTGGACTTGATGGACTAATGTCTTTATTCAACCTCAAATACTATGTAACTATGTAACTATTAGGGTTGCACAGATACCAAGTACAGTACTCGGTATATATATACAGTATACACTATATTGCCAAAAGTATTGAGACACTGACCTTTACACGCACATGAACTTTAATGGCATCCCAGTCTTACTCCGTAGGGTTCAATATTGAGTTGGCTCCGCCCTGTGCCGCTATAACAGCTTTAACTCTTCTTGGAAGGTGTCCACAAGGTTTAGGAGTGTGTCTATGGGAATGTTTGAGCATTTGTGAGGTCAGGTACTGATGTTGGACGAGAAGGCCGGGCTCGCAGTCTTCGCTTTGCTTTGCACTTGGTGATGTAAGGCTTGGATGCAGCTGCTCGGCCATGGAAACCCATTCCATGAAGCTCTCTACGCACTGTTGTTGTACCAATCTGTAGGCCACATGAGGTTTGGAGGTCTGTAGCTATTGACTCTGCAGACAGTCGGCAACTTCTGCACACTGAACCCGCTCTGTCATTTTACGTGGCCTACCACTTCATGGCTGAGTTGCTGTTGTTCCCAGTTGCTTCCACTTTGCTGTAATACCAGTAACAGGTGACCGCAGAATATTTAGTAGCAAGGAAATGTCACGGAACACCTGAATCCAAGGATTTGGAGGCAGGGGCGTCCCGAGGCTGGGTGACACCCGGTGTGGTAACCGAGTGTCACCCCGCCGAGACGTTAGCGCGCACACGCATGACGTCACGACGCGGGGGCGCGATTACGTCATCGCGCACGCGCGGCAAGTCTGATACCTGACGGCGCCCATCTTGGTGATGGACGCCGGCAGAGAGAGGAGGGGACAGTCACACGGCGGGATAAGGGATGCCGCCGGGTCCCCTCCTCTCTCCTGATACTGTCGGACGTTCGGTCCATGACCGAGCGCCCGACTTTTCAGAGGGGGGGGACACCAAAATGACTGTAAGTCAATGGTGTCACCCGGGTGAGGGCGGCACCCCCCGCACCCCCCTTGTGACGCCACTGTTTGGAGGGGTGTCCCAATACTTTTGGCAATATAGTGTATATTTCTTTTTTAATACTGATCACCTCACAATGCTGACCTGGCGGAGTTAAGGCCGGGACAGGGTAGGGGTTAGGTGGGGCAACTGGTGGCGAGTAACTCTTAAGGCTTGGCTAGTAGCTCAGGGCCTGAAATTTTGAGCCCTGACGTAGCATATATAATATAAACCATATATATCTGCAAACCCTAGCCCTAATATTTAGACCACAGATCCTTTATTCCATGTGACTATACTGACACTGAACTCTAGACAGGCAGAGATATCATCTGTATTCAGATCATGCTGGATCAGCTTCCAGAGCTTTCTGTCAAAATATGTCACTTTTTGCCCACACAGCTGGATTTTCGGTGACTTTTATTTCAGTAACTTATCTGTATAACTTCAAGGTTAGTAAATATGTTATCTTCAAGAAATGACCGTCATTCTGCTGTGTAAAATGTGTGAGAAGTCATCGTTTTAAAACAATTAGGGTATTTAGAGTGTGTATGTAGTAAATCATCACAGAGGGCAAAGATAAAGCGCAAAGGGCAACAACCCGGAGCAGCCAATCAGAATTCAGATTACTGCTGTGGAGCTGAACTTCAGGCAGATAGAGAAAAACACATTTTTGATGCAACGCGTATGTATAGACTGTACACAGCTGATGGCCCGAAATCGTTCCAGCGATTAAGGGACTCTTATAAATTCCCAGCTTCTGAACTATTTAATTACCTCCAGGACAGGTGTAGTACTTCCTCTCCTCCCAAATCCCAAATTTCCCCATCGGGGCAACATTCACCCCTTTTGAGAGGGTTTGCAAAGATGATCCGCATACACCAGGCCTAATATCCATGGTGAATGGTCATTTGATTGCTGGACAAACACTTATTCCTTTATTCCTCATAAATATATGTTAGCATGGAGCAAGATCTCGGTTGTCCCATTGATGAGGAGATCTGACAGTCTATTTGGTAAACCAACTATAAGTTGACAGACATCCCAACCTGCAAAACCTTATTTCAGGGAGGTGCCCTTTTCATTTCAGGTAGGTACCTTCTCTTTTTTTTTTTATTTTGACAGCGGCCGTTGGCCACCGTCACAATAATAAAAAAAACAAAAACTAAATGGCAGGGGAATGAATAGCTAGGCGACGATTAAAACGCTTTTACTGTTCATCAGTTTAGTGTTATCAGTGATTAAAGGAGAACTATGGGGTTAGGGCTTTTCCCCATAGTTTTCCTTAGGGTAACGGGAGGACACAAATTAGCGTCCTCCCGTTACCCTAAGCTCAGTATACCGCGAGCTACAGCTCGACTTTTTTTATCAATCTTTCATTTTTGTATTACTTTCTTTTTTTTTTTTTTTACATACAACTTTATTGCTATTACATGGGGGGCTAAGAAGTCCCCTATGGATAGCCGATTTATATGACAGGTCCTCTTTATGGAGACATCAGGGGTCTCCAAGACCCCTAATGTCACCTAGGGACCTCCAGAGAAGCTGATGAAGCAGAGATCGGCTTCATCAGCTGCATCCCTTCCTGCATTCGGGGACTGAGAGGAGATCAAAGGGAGTTCGTGTACTGAACTCCCTTTGATCTCCTGTCACAGAGCCGTGCCGGTCCCGGCTGCATCGGGCACAGCGGATCTTGGGACCAGCTACGGCAGGGACAGCTTCTGATACAAGCGATCGAGCGTCTCTCGAGACGCTCGATCGCTTGACTGTAAAGCTCCTGGCCGGCCTCCAACTTCTACTGTCCGCCGAGTGAATAGTAGATATTATACCATTTTATTATTATTAATTACATTATGTTTTTATTTTATTTAAGATTATTAACACTACAGTATATGACAAGACATATGGTTACAGGCACCTTGCCTGTGCATTGTGTAAAGGCGGCTGTGTTCTTTGTGTGAGATGAATTGCAGCGCAGGAAGCTCCCCTCCACAGCTCAGCAAGCAGCCAACATTTGGAAGTGTGCCACTCACCCTCCCTGCACCCTACTACAGGATCTGCAGGCACGAACTTTTCCCCCCCTTACAACTAAAAACTTTATTTATACTCAGCAGGACTAGTGAGCTCAGCAGACCCGGGAAAGGTTTCAATCATTTCCGGGATAAAATGTCTCTCTTGCGGGCGTCAGGGAGCCGCTATCTAATAGCGGGAGACTCCCGGAAAATCCGTGAGACTTGGGATGTCTGAGTTGATTTATAGGTGGTACTTAGTGCCTAGTCGTTTACGAACATTAATCCCGGGACATGTGGGATTGTGCTTCCTGAACTGTGGGGAAGTGGGTACCTTCTTTTATGTCTGGTGGCCATGCCCAAAGGTTCAGGCCTTCTGGACTCAAATCTATGGCTTTCTCTCTTACCTCTTGGGCACCACGCTGGCGGCAAGGCCCACTGAGGCTCTACTTAACCAACTGCCAGACGGCCTCTTATGAAGTCAACGCAAGTTTATGTTACATGTTCTTACTACTTCTAAACAGACTGTAGCAAAATCGTGGACAAAACCTGGCCCAAGCCTGAGATCCTCCAAAATAGGAAGAGCCATTGGCACTTCCAAACAATCAGCTGTGGGCCAGGTATTCCCCACCCTGCAGCTGCATACAAATAAAGGGGCGCGATGTTTGTGCTTATGTAATTTACCTTATATGGTCAGATAGCCATACAAGGTAAATGTAATTTACCAAATACAGGTATGTAGCCATATAAGGTCAACTATTTACTGCCTACCGCCCCTTTGCTTACATCAAGCTGATTGGGCAGCATGGAAGGAGCTTATTTCCTGAGCTCAACCCTATTGGCCAGTAACAGCTGAACGCTGGGATGAACCCGGTCCAAACATGAGCTCCTCTGAAACCAGAAGGAGCTCCTACCGAACACGTAAGAAAGCTCCTTCAATGCCCCCCAGCCAGCTGCGGGAGGGGGAATTGATGTGAGTAAACAGACGGGGTGCAGTGACATCATTGACCTTCTAGGGCTACATGGCTATATTAGGTAAATGGCATACTTAAAGGAGAACTATGGGGTTAGGGCTTTTCCCCATAGTTCTCCTTAGCCTAACGGGAGGACACAAACTAGCGTCCTCCCGTCACCCTAAGCTCAGTATACCGCAAGCTACAGCTCGCGGTATACTGAGACGCCGCAGCTGAAGCGGATCCCGACAATTATGTCTGGATCCGCCCAGCTGCATGAGTGACAGTTGGCTCTGCCTATCTAGAGGCAGAGCCAGCTGTACCCGCCCACTCCCCCGTCCGTTCCGCCAGTCAGCGCTGGAGGATCGGAGTGGGAGGGGGAATCCAGCCCCTCCCCTGTCACGGCAGAGAGCAGTGACAGGATCGAGAAGTGAGCGAACGCTGGTATGTGTTCGCTCACCTCCCGATCTACTGAGCAAACCTGTGACAGTCTCACTGTCACACGTCAGCTAGAACTATGAGGATGAGTGAAAAGCACTCACCTCATAGTTCTCCTTTAATATGACCATATAGAGTCAACGACATCAGCACAAGCATCCCGCCCCTTTATTTATGGCCAGCTGCGGGGCAGGGAATGCCCCAGCTCACAGCTGATTGAGCAGGAGGCTAACATAGCCTCTGCGTTCGGATGAGCTCAGCTTCAGACTGGGTTCAGTGTGAACCTGAACTCATCCCTACCCGCAGGCTGAAGGAAAGAACGTTATGCATGTATGGTAGGGTTGCCACCTTTTCTTCAAGCGAAACCCGAACACTCTAGAGACGCGCAGACAATTTTTGGGGAAAATTAGTTGCGGCTTATTCATATCTAAAGAGCGTCACCCATTCATATGCAAATATTACAGGTGAGACTATTTTCAGTGGGGGGCCAGTAGCCCCTATCTTAATTTTGGTTGCCCCTGTCTGCCTGACATTTTGTGTCCGGGTTTCTGCTGCCATGAAACCCGAACAGAGCATTCAAAACCCGAACTGTCCGGGTGAATCCTGGACAGGTGGCAACCCTAATGTATGGCCAGGTGAGTCTATCGCAACACGATTCAAGCAGCCAGTAACCATCTATTTTGGGTGGATATGGACTCTTGTTTTCCTCATATATGAATGAATGTATATATGGCAGAGGGCAATAGGAAAAGTAAGTCACTCCATCTTATGTAAGTACGCCACACACAAAAGTGTCTTATTTCTGGAATTCCAAATAAATCTTTTTTGCTGACAAAATAAACCTTAGACGTGTCTAAAAATATACACAGAAAAATAGTTTAGATTTGCAGGTTTCTGCGAAAAAAAGAAAAATGTTCTGGAAGTAGGATTTGCCCAAAACGAAGAGCCGTCATCAATCAGCAGAAGTCAGTTTGGGATGGAGGTGTAGAAACCATAACAGGAATCGGAGCCCCGCTCCACAGGAAATTTGTATTTATACAGAAGAATTCCGTGACAAAATACACAGCATTCTTTCTAAAATTAAACGGACTGTGTGTGAGTTTGGGTATGGCGGGTCTGGTGAGTGAATGTTTCTCGGGGGTGAAAAAGAAAAAAGGTCTCCGTGGGGCAGTTGGACGACTGAAATCACCAGTCTGCCCGGACAGCGCAATGGTCAGTTTTCACAGACCGCCAACTGCACCACTGGTATTACTCGGCTGCTCGTACTGAGGGTGAAGGGGATGCTGTCATGGCCTCCTGTGTCAACTGAAATGAGTTTAAAGAAGAAGAAATGTAAAAAAACGTACTCTTGCAGTGGTGCTACCGTTGTGCTGCAAGGGTTAATTGCTTGTTTTGTCTATGGGGGGACCCAAATAAAGCGATATACTCACCTGATCCTCAGTCCTGCCAAGCTGATAGACCGGTCCCCCACAGCCTCTTCTCCCCCGGGCTCCAGCGGTCAGCATTAGACATAAGGATGCCGAGGGACATACCACAGCCGGAGTAGAGGGCCAGAGAGGCGAGTCCAGACAGCAGGACTTAGGATCAGGTGAGTTAATCTGCTTTATTTGAGCCCCATAGACCAAATGAGCAGTTAACCCTTGTAGTCAGTGGCGTAACAATCGCCATAGCGACCCAGGCGGGCCCGGCCAGGACACCCCCCTGATGCCATGTGGGCCGCCTAGGTCGCTATGGCTTCGAACGCGCCGCTGTTTAGATCACTGTCAGATCTGTGCAGGGCTGCGTTCTTCTAATACAAAATTTTGCTATGGGGCCCTGTAATATCTAGTTACGCCCCTGCTTGTAGTGCAAGGGTACCTTCAGGGCTGACCCTAAAATTAGGTAGCCTGAGGGTATTGGGGAAAGCAGATTTAATTACCTGATTCCGGCTCTCCCAACAGCCGGTGCTTACCTTATTTTCCTTACCATCTTGTCTCCTGTCCCTTGGTGTCCTCACATAAAAGCCAGTGCAATGGACCCTGCATTGTATTTGATAAAGTCAGCGGGCCCCCATCTGCTGGTGCATAGGAACAAAAAGCAGTGTGTGCTGGTCTTGTAGCCCCGGGGGGATCCAGTGGGAGCAAGAATCAGGTAAGTAAAGGCCTTATACCAAGTACCCTAGACCTACCTAAATGAGCATTTAACTCTTGCAGAGCAAGGGCAGCCTGAAGTTTAGCGTTATAACAAGCTTTGACTGACCTCTTCAGCTATAGGCATTGTAGAAAAATTAATTTAAAAAATTTACAACAAGGATCCTGCGAGTGCTCCAGAATTGTATGTCGGTGAAACAAAACGGCAGCTACACCAGCGTATGGCACAGCACAGAAGAGCAAAACCCTCTGGTCAGGATTCGGCAGTATACCTACATCTAAAGGAAACAAGGTCACTCCTTTGAAGACAGTCAAGTACGCATACTAGACGGGGTGGAGGACTGGTTTAAAAGAGGTGTGAAAGAAGCCATTTATGAAAAAATGGAGAAGCCAAGCTTGAATAGAGGGAGGGGGGGGATATTAACACCTCCTAGACTCCAATTATGCAAATTCATCAACACCTGGTTGTGACAGATTATGTAGATTGGAGCAACATTCACCATATATATTCCCAGATAATTTTTTGTACAAGTCATTCTGAATTGAGAAAGCTGGTTGGATGACCAGTGAAACGTCTTCAAGAAAAACACAGCAAGTCCAGTTGCTTTGACTTATTTTTTACAGATATTTAATATCTAGTGGCCATAATGTGATATTACATTAAATTCAACCTGAATGCCCATTTTTCCCTCTATCTGCACCAAACGCACATTCGAAGACATTTGCAGGATGAATGGCCTTGCTAATTCGATAATGTCATCAGAGACTTGACAAATGTGTTTTTCGAAATTCGAAACACATTCGTTTGGTTTTTAACATTTGATTTCACAATTAATGGAGTTCATTGAAGTCATTGAATTTATTGAATTCTGGAATGAAAACCACATTCACTGTTAGAATTTTGTTCATTCGTTCCATCCTGTCCCTTTTATTTTTATTTGTTGTCATTAGGGCCAAAAACAGTTGTCGATCTGACCCCATAAGACACATGTGTCAAACTTAAGGCCCAGGGGCCAAATCCAGCCCACCAGGCCATTTCCTAGACTTCTACTTTCAGATCTAGGTATTAAGTTATTACTAAAACCAGTGATAATCGAATGCAGAGGCAATTATAATAAAGATTAGATACATTTATATAGTCTTACAGGCCCTTTGAGGGCAACCGAAATGTTGATTTGGCCCACGATTAAATTGAGTTTGACACCCCTGCATAAGATATTTAAAAATGGAATAAATATTTTAAGAATTATTTTTTTTCCAAGCAAAATTCCACCAGCGAATTGCCAGCTTGCCTTTAGATCCCCTTTCAATCTCCAGTTCATTGCCTTCATAACGTTGACCATCATCATGATCTCCTCGGGTGACATTTTGTTATGTAGGATCGCATTCCTTACGGTGAAGAAGTCATCATTGGTCGCAGGTGTGTCGGATCGCGGTCTCAGCTCCCAGATTCGTAGTACATTTACAGAAATAACAGGAAGTGCTTATCAACTGCTCAGGAAGTCCTACTGCTAAGTGGAAGTGTTAGTTAGTGTTCCTGCCGCTGTCACCAGTTGCTCAGGAATAATTGATGGCATTTGGCGGGCGTCAGGGCCTGGGAGGAGAACCCGGCACGGGAAAAAACAAGCGCAGGCTCAGTCTCTGCTATCTCACATGTGTCTGTCCCGGCGATAAGAGTTACATTGTACAATATTGGGAATTATTATGCTTTTCCTCTTTTGATGAATGAACGCTCTATTTATTTATTTTTTCTCCCTGACTAAAAAAAGAACCTTTGGCTTATTTTCAAACTCCACATTCTCCCAGAACGTGACTTCCAAATAGGTTTTGACTTCAGGTTTTAGAATTCTGGCCAGGTATAAATGAACATAAAAAGATATACCAAACCCGGGTGTATAGAAGAAATAGAGAAATGAAGTTACAGAGGAAATAATTAAAAAAAACACAAACATTAACCTGAGCTGATCTATAAGCTTTCAAAAGCAGCAACAGTGTGTGGGGGACCCTGTGGGGTCAACATGTACCCATGTTAGGGTTTAAAGTGGAACTCTGGGCAAAACTTCAACCCTTGCAGTGGGGTTCCTCCGTACAGCAAGGGTCTATGGAGGAAAATAAAAAAAGTAATACTCACCCGAAGCTCTAAACCAGCCTTCTGTCACAGCGCTCCCTCCAGACTGCCTCCTCCTCCCCTGCAGCGATGTCCCTCGGCATCATTGCGTCCTATGCACTGGGCCGGATTTACTCTCTCTGCTGCCCCAATGTCAGGTTTCTCAATGCGCAGGCTGCATACAAGTGATCTCAGCGACATCGCCGACATCACTTGTACAAAACAAGCGGTGGCTTCCCCACTGTACATTTAGCTCTGCTTGCCCAAAGCAGGGCTAAGGCCTTGTTCACACCAACTGAAGAGCAGATCTGCTCAGGTTTCTGCACACGCAGTGCAGTGGGTTGTGCCGTGTTTTTAATGCGTTCCGGACTGTATTTGGTAAAAAAAAAAATATATTTTTTTAGTTTAACATGGGCTTTCAGTGCGTTCCAGGCATTTGCATGCGTTTTTGATGCGTTTGCATGCATTCCAGAGCGGATCCAGAGCAGATCCAGAGCAGGGAAAATAGGGCTTGCTGCAGTTTTTTAACTGCTCTGGAACTGCACGCTGCGATGTGAACTGGAGCAAAAAATACCATTGGAATATATTGGACACAGTTTTGGTCCGGTCTGCAACTGCTCTGCTCTGCGCCTGCTCCGCGCTTGGTGTGAACAAGGCCTTAATGTAGCAAACAACTACCCGCCCGGCGCCCGGAACTGCATGTCCTGGGTGTTGCAGGATAGGAATTCCATACCCCTGCTGCCCCTCTACTCCCTGCTGCCCCGAGGCCGGGCCTCGGGTGGTCTTGTGGGAAATCCGGCCCTGCATATGCACAGTGTATAGCAGGGACGTACAGTCAGGGGAGGCAGAGCCTCACCTAGAAGTATAAAGGAAACAGCTGTCAGCTTCATGTCTGAAGCTGACAGCTTTTTCTCCATTCAGATCGGCATCTAACAGGTTACACAGCAGGGAAATCCTCCCCGCTGTGTAACTTGTCATGGACGGAGCACCTCAGCAGTGAGGAGCAAGTCAGGGACAGGGAGGCTCCTCCCTGCCTCCTCCCTTCCTCCTTTACACTAGCTTGGAGGCGGGACATTGTCCGGCAGTGGCGGGGCTTCGTCCCACGGGGACGGGGCGGGACGTGGGGAGGCGAGGCTAGGCAATACCTCACCCGGAGCAAGAGGTACCGCACATCACTGGTGTATAGAACATAATGACTCATGGACCTTAGACTGCTGCAGAGGCGGGGGAGAGAGGCTGGTCCGGGTGACTATAACTTTTTTTTATTTTCCTCCCTAGACACAAACGAGCAGTTAACCCTTGCTGTGCAAGGGGAGCCCAACTGCAAGGGTTAATGAATGTTTTGCCTGGTGTTCTTTTTTAACCACTTCAGTACCAGAAATAAATCAGTTTTCAATAGACATGTAACTTTCGTTTAGTTCCGAATGGATATTCGTACGAAGTTCGTTAAATTTCTGACATTCGGATCCATCTGAATGTCCGAATCTGAAGGCGTCTGATAGCAAATGTCCAATTAAGGAAATTCGGATCTGTCCTAATTCCGTTCAAAATGAATCTAAATCTGACAGGTGACTGTTCTCTGGCCAATCAGATTTTTTGGGGGTTCCATTACAGGCAAGGTCATGTGACTTTGTTCCAAAACTAAAATTTGGATTGTTCCAAAATGAAACTTCAGATCGATCCGACGGATCCAACTAACGAAGCAAATCGAATTTCAGATCCGAAATCTGAAAAACAAAAGAAATAAAAATCTGTATGAATCCGAAACGAAACATTTTGGTGGAGCTACACGTCTTGTTTTCAGTGCTGTGATAGTTTGACTGACGGTTGCTCGGTGATGATGAACCAAAATTCATTTTATATCATTTTTTTATTTTTAGATACAGGGGTTTTTTTTGTGGCATTTGTTAACGACTGAAATTCTTTTTTTTAAATATAAAGAAAAAAAGACCAAACATGAATGGCACCGCCACCAAACACGTGGCGGTGCCATTCATGTCATTGGCACCACAGGCATGCCCCCTACCCGCAGTGCGATCACCCGCACCGGAACGCAAGGTACAGGAATGCTCTCCGTTCCGGTCCAGTCCAATCAGAAAAAAACGATGCATGCACAATTTTCTCAGATCGCACTACACTGGAACGGAGGATATTCCAGTACCTGTTGCGATGCAGGCGATTGCAATGCGGTGCCATTGATATGAATGGCACCGCCACGCCCCCTCCCGCCATGACCACGCAAGAACGCACTGGCTATGGTGTGACTGGTCCCTGAAAAAACCCTGCTTCCCTTACTTTCTGTTATAAGGGTTCAGTCACATCATATTCCGGTGCGGTCCAAGCCCAGAAAGCACTGGATTGCATAGAGCAAGCCGAGCCGCGTGTGGCGGGAGAGGGTGTGGCGGTGCCATTCATGTCAATGGCCCCGCAGACACACCCCCCGCCCGAAGTGCAATCACCGCTCCGGAACGCAAGGTACAGCAATGCCCTCCGTTCCGGTGCAGTGTGATCGGAAATAATAGTGCATGCAGCGTTTTTCCGATCGCACTGCACTGGAACGGAGGACATTGCTGTACCTTGGGTTCCAGAGCGGGCAATTGCACTGCGGGGGCTTGAGGGTGTGTCTGCGGTGCTATTGACATGAATGGAACCGCCACTTCCCCTCCCGCCCCAGAACGTGGCGCGGCTTAATTTCTGCGATCCAGTGCAACCGGCCACGAATCGTGCCGTATCGCACTGGAAATGGTGTGTCTGGGCACACCAACATATCAAATACTAATGCCAGAACAGTACAAACACCCTCAAAATGACCCCTTTTGGTATCCAGAACTAATTTTTGCCCAAATGTTTTGGGAAATAAAGGGACATGCTGAAGAAACATGAAAAGGAGTGCATGCATTACCTCTAATCACTGTGCGGCAGCACAACGCACGTAGTGATATGGCGAATCAATGGCCATATCACTAATCAATGGCACTCAGCGTGCCCGGTGTGATTCCACGCATTTAGTGAATCGGCCCAAAATATCTATTTTTGGGGTCTTTCAGCCGCTCCTGGGCTCCCCCCTGATACCGTCTTTTATTTATTTACTCCAGCAGCTCGTCTCACATCCTCGCTGTGGCCGGCGCGCAGCCAAGGACATATTCCACCCCGGTATATATAAATAATGGTGGAAGACGTCACTGGATCACCAGGTGACACAGGAACGGGGTGCAGAGGGCACGCAGTGTACAGGACCGAGCTTTTTCAGGTCATTGCTCCTCCTGATACAGGAACACCAAACCCGATGTGTATATAGAAGTCACAGCGGGAGACAGGATGTCAGATAACAGGGACAAGATAGGATAACACTGGGCGGACCTGTTCCCGGTGCAGGCCAGATAATAAATTATTACTTTGTGTTGCATTAAAGCTGAACTCCAGGAAAACAGATAAAGATAAAAATGCACACAGTATATAGAAGGTTTCTTTTTCATTTCTGTCCATTCAGTCCTATGATTTACACAGCTCTGCCACATGGCACAGCCCTGTGTTACGTGGCAAGGAACCTAATTTTCCTCTGCTGCATTTACTGAAAATGTTCAGGTCTTGTCCAGGGGCGTCCCGAGGCCGGGTGTCACCCGGAGCGGAGACCGGGTGACACCCCGCAGTGACATCATCACGCATCACTACTCGCTTGCGCGATGACGTCATCTAATTGACGCCTGGATTGTGGTTTCACAATCACAGCATTTTACACCTGACATGTCCATGTTATTATTAATCATCATACATAGAGGGATGCATTAGTAGAATTAGATTTTTGAGGTCCCCTTTAATATAACATTGAGAGTGTCTTGTTATATCTGTTCCATAAGGGCAAAAAATTACCTGTTGATCCCGTCAGAAATCTTGTGTTGAGAACTTTCTGTGCTTGCGCTGACTGTTACATTAGTTCCCAGAAATCTATGTGGATTACAAAAAACATCCTCCTTCGTGTTATCGAGAAGAGAAGAGTGAGGGGGTTCTGTAGTCCTGTCCTAGGGTGACAATGCTGCTCCTCCGTAGATACAGTACATTGAGTGAACGTTGTCACCCTAAGACAGGAAGTGTGTTACTGGCAGGACCCCTAAGTGAAAATAGAGGAAAACTAACGCAGTCACCCAGGGGCGTCCCGAGGTCAGGTGTCAACCGGAGCGAATACTGGGTGACCCCGCTGTGACATCATTGTGCATGCGCGGTCATCTTATGTACACCTGCCAGCGGCCATCTTGGTGACAAATGTGTAAGAGGCGGTGTTTAATAAAAGTGTGGCGCTCAAAGCTCTAGAAGGTGCATGAGCTTCTTTGCCACTGTTGCCACGCATAGGGCAGCCCATTGAAATTAATTGGCTGCCCGTATTGGCCATGTATGATAAGTGTACAGATATGTGGCCCATGAAGTCCCGCTTTGCCAGTGTGAATGGGGCTGGACTGGTGATCTGCAATATATTACATCTTTGTTCTTGGGTGTAGGTACACTCTAACCCCAGGTATCGGGGCGCTGAGATAGAGGGGGGGAACGCCTGAAATGCCATAGCCGGCAAAACGTTGAATAATTGTTACTTTTGATTAATTTTTACATTATGGTTAAAGAGTCGACTGTTAAATCTTTCCATAGAGTAAAAAAAAAAGCCCCATATAAAGTGTACCTGTAGTGTGGATGATACAAAGGTGATCTTATTGGCAAGCCATTGACCACCAATGATCACCGATGACCAGTCATGACCACCCAGGGCCACCTATGATCACCCATGACCACTCATGACCACCCATGACCACTCATGACCACCCAGGGCCACCCATGACCACTAATGATCACCCATGACCACTCATGACGACACAGGGCCACCCATGACCACTAATGATAACCCATGAACACTCATGACCACCCAGGGCCACCCATGACCACTAATGATCACCCATGACCACTCATGACCACCCATGGCCACCCATGACCACTAATGATCACCCATGACCACCCATGACCACTCATGACCACCCATGACCACTAATGATCACCCATGACCACTCATGACGACACAGGGCCACCCATGACCACTAATGATAACCCATGAACACTCATGACCACCCAGGGCCACCCATGACCACTAATGATCACCCATGACCACTCATGACGACACAGGGCCACCCATGACCACTAATGATCACCCTTGACCACCCATGGCCACCCATGACCTTACTGTACAAGCAGAATCCCAGCTGCATTTACAGTGTCCGTACAATGCTGGCCGGGGCTCGCTCGTAGAAAAAGTGAACGCTGTGTGTTTTGGGAATGAACTCACCTTGAACTCGCTGCCTTGTCCAGGACACTTGCTCCGTGGGCCACGCTGCAGCAGGGGAAGGGCTGGAGCAGCTGCGGGAAGGAAAAGACTTAAAATAACTTCATGTTTTCTGCAGTGACAGATTGATTGGAGAATGCGGCCGGCAATAAGGAGAAAGGGAACCCAATTTAGAAAAATATGTTGGCAAAGCCGACTCGTTCGGGATTCAGATGCTTATCTGTGCAAAGCAAATACACACAGGATGTAAGAGACACAAAGATAACCGTATCAGCTCAATTTTCACCAACAATTCATACCGGTGACCAAAGAAAAGGGAATATTTTCTAACAGCTACCCATTACTTGTTCATGGATGGGGGGGCAGGATCTGGGTCCAGCCAGAGTCAAATAAGCCCCCTGCCTGCAGACCCCCCACAGCCTGCAGACCAGGGTGGTGGGGAAGAGGCCTTTGTCCTCATCCCCATGTGGCCTGGTATGGTGCTGGGGGGGGAGGGGGGGGGCACACGCTTGCCCCCCCCCCCCCTTCCCTACTCTGTCAGGCTGCTGCTTGGATCAAGGGTCTGGTAAGGGATTTTAGCAGAGATCCCACGCTATTTTTTTGTTTTTTTGTGGCCTTGGGCTCCCCCCTAAAATTCCTAGCAGGCCTAACAGATCTGGTATGAATTGTGGAGGGGATTCCAGGCAGGGTTTTTTTTTCAACGTTTAACAGCATAAGTTCATTCCAAATGACATTCAGAAAAAAATTTGGATGCATCTGAATTTCGCTATCAAAAATTCGGATACGTTCGGATTGGTTATTTCTTTCATTCGGAAATTCGAATGCACACAAATGTCCGAGAGGGGAATCCCTGGAACTAGTGTCTCCTTTGGAAAATTTACCCTCTGTTCCTGTTCTAAAGATAACCCAAAATTTGGGATTTTCTTTCACTTTCAGTGATAAAGGTCACCAGGACAGGTAGAGGGGGTGAATCTCCCTGATGAGGACAAAGACAACAATAAAAACCTGACCTGGGTTCTAATTCTTCTTCACTCCATCCAACACTAAAAAAAATGTTGACTTTAGTTCTACCTTAGGCCTGTTTCACACCTAGACATTTTTGAGCAGTAGGAAAAGCGTTTTAAATGCCCAACACAAGAAATCCCATGATTTTTAATGGCCCCTGTTCACACCTGAGCAGCAAAAATCCAAATGCAGAAAAAGGTACATGAGCTTCTTTTGGCAGTATCAAGCTTGTTTCTCCCCCATAAACTTCAATTGAAAAGACAGAAAACGTGCGGCAGTCAATAAAAATTAAAATTTATATGGGAAAAAAAACCCAGCGCGGCAGAAGCATGTTGCACATTTTTGTGCGCATTTGTATGCGCGTTTGTCCATTGACCGCAATGTTTCCTAAGCCACCAGTCAATACGCAAGTAAAAAATGTGCCAGTCACAAAGTAAAGATGGGTCACCAGCACACATGTCTTGCCTGAAGAAGGGGATCCTGCGTGAACCCAAAACGTTGCATTTCCGTCAATAAAAGACACACTATTCACTATTCGGAGTGCCTGTGCCCCATCTTTATTTTGTGACTGTCACAGCGCCATCCGGTGGCCACCGCAGCATGATGAGGGAGCATGGATCCGGCTTTCTGGCCAATGAGAAAGCCGGGGGGCCGTGAGATGACTCGCTGCGCGGCTTCCTGATACCGGAAGCTTAAGTATCGGGCCAGGCATTGGAGCATTTAGCAGTACGAGAACTCGCCCATATACTCTGCATCGGCACCGATACTAGTATCGGTATCGGTGCATCCCCAGTTCATGGACTACTAAAAACTGTGCCAAACATGTATAACGTGCAAATAGCCGCACACTGAACATGTGTGTACAAATGTGCAAAAACTATGCCGCCTAGGTGTGATCCAGGGCTTTACATAAAGTTTTGTAAATACAATAAAAACTTGTAAGTTGCACTTTAAATTTATATCAAAGTCAAAGGTTTTTAAAGTGACACAAAGTGACAATCTTAAAATACATTCAGGTATCTTAAAGGAGAACTATGGGGTTAGGTCTTTTCCCCATAGTTCTCCTTAAGGTAACGGGAGGACACAAACTAGCGTCCTCCCGTCACCCTAAGCTCAGTATACCGCGAGCTACAGCTGGCGGTATACTGAGACGCCACAGTATACCACCCGATCTACTGAGCCGACCTGTGACAGTCTCATTGTCACAGGTCGGCTAGAACTATGAGGTGAGTGCTTGTTCTCCTTTAACTACTAACAAAAATGTATCTTATTTGTGTATCACTCGGCTGTAGATCCTCAAATCATCTCTGAATGGGTGCTGACAGTGTCCTTCCTTCTGGAGGGGGGCTAATTTTGTTCCACCTTGTCCCTGTGTGTGTTGTAAAGTAGTCACCGCTAACTCCTGTGACGGACTACAATCGAAAATACAAATCAGTAAACTAAACTGTAGTCCATCACAGGAGTGAGCTTGGAGCGGTGACTACTTTGCAACACACACAGGGACCATGAAGAAGTATGGAGTGGGGAACAGGGGAGTGACATGTCTTGCTGTTCCTGTGTGTTTGTGGAGACACACAGCTTACAAGCACAAACAAGGGTTCTTCAGGAACTTATAACTTTTAAACATCAAGTTGCAGTGTCCATTGTAAGTGATTTAATCAGCACTTGAAATAGCTTAAAAACCTTTCGACTTTAATATAACTTTAAATCATAGAGAAGAAGAAGCCAAGCTGCCAATATGAAATCTTTGCCCTTCCAGTGACAGTCGTGTCACTGCTCTCTGCGTACATCTGCAGCCACAGGGAGTGGTTAGAGATAAGGATAAAAGTTATCAGATGACTTTCTTCAGAAAGTCAGAATTTGCATATTAGTAACAGGGCTGGTTTAGGCTGCTTAGCCTGCAGGTTTTGGGAAAAGAAAGAATGGGCTTGAATAGGCTGATGATGGAAGAGCAATGGTGACATGCTTCCATTATCATCTGACCAATGATATCGATTCATATCATCTGACCAATTATATCGATTCATTATCATCTGACCTATGATATTGATCCATTATCATCTGACCTATGATAGTGATCCATTATCATCTGACCAATGATATCGATCCATTATCATCTGACCTATGATATCAATTCATTATCATCTGACCAATGATATCGATCCATTATCATCTGACCTATGATATCAATTCATTATCATCTGACCTATGATATCGATCCATTACCATCTGACCTATGATATC